TGACATCCTGATTATATAGGAAACCGCATCCTCCTCCTCAGGGTTATCTCTCGCTAGGCTGAGGACGGGGTGCATTTGGCGTGCCGGTGGAGATGTACGCTGATGTATGTACGTGAGTGCCCTACTTGTGCGTGTGCAGAACCTCTGTTTCCCTCTCTCTCTTTCTTTCTTTCTTTAGCTTAATCTCTCTCTTGTGTGTCTGTCTCTCTTTCTCTCTCTCTCTTGTATCAGTATCTCCCTCCCTCACTCCCTTTCCCTCTCTTCATTTCCACCCTCCCCACCCACCTCCCTCCCTTCTTCTTTCTCCCACCCTCCCTCCAGCACTTCCCTCCTTCTCCCTCCCTCTTCCACCCTCCCTCCCTCCCTTCTCCACCCACCCTCCCCTCCTCTCCTACCCATCCTCACTCCCTCTACTTCCCTCCTCTCTCCCTCCCTCTTCTCTTCCCAGCGGCGGCAGCGCACTCTCCGTTCACACATCTGCAAAGACGAGACTGCTGTTAAAATCTTGTGAGTTCTCATTATCGGAGTTTCTGCACAAAAGAAAAGAGTGATAAAGAAGGAATAAGGGGGATGGAGAGAGGATGAGAGGGGGGGTTGGGATGTAGGAGGGAAGAGAGGAAGAGGGAGAGTAGGTGGAAAGACGGAGGTGAGAGGGGGAGGGGGGGAGAAAGAGAGAGGGGGAGTGGTAGAAAGAAGGGGGAGATTAAGAGCGAGAGAGGAAGAGGGGAAAGGAAGAGGGAAGGGGAGAATAAATGGAAAGAAGAGGGAGAAAAAGAGTGAAGGAAGAAGAGAGACGGAGAGTAAACGAGAGATGGGGGAGAGATAGGGTAAAGAAAACGTGAAGAGGAGTCAGGGAGAATGAAAGAAAGGCGAAGCGAAGAGAAGAGAGAAAATAAGGGGAGCACGAGGGGGTAAATAAGAGGAAGGGGGAGAAGAAGAGACGAGAGGGAATGTATAAGTGAGAAGGAGAACAGAAAGGTGAACGAGATGAGGAAAAGAAGAGAGAAAGAAGTGGAGAAGAGGCAGAAGAGGGTAAATGAAGTTAGATGGGAAAGGAAAGAAGGGTTAAGAAAAAGGGAGAAAGATGAGGGTGAAAAAAGAGGAAGAGAGGTAAGGGGAAAGAAAGAGGAAGAGAGATGAGGGAGAAGAAGAGGGAGAGAGAGGGAAAAGGAAGAGGGAGAGAGATGAGGGGAAGGAAGGAATAGAGATGAGGGGGAGGTGAGGGGAATAGAGAAGAGAGAAAGTAAGGGGGAAGACTGCTGCGAGAGGGGAGGAAAGAGGGAAGAGGAGAGGAAAGGAAGGAGAGGGAAGGAAGAAAATGAGCTAGAGGAAAAGAGAGGAGAGGAGAAGAAAAGGGGAAGAGGGAAGGAGAGGAAAGAAGAAAGGAGGGAGAGGAACAGAGAGAAGGGAAGAGAAGAAAAAGGAAAGATGGACAGAAGAAAGAAGAGAGAAAGAGAAGAGAAGAAGAAAAAGAGACAAAGATGAGAGGAGAAGACAAGAAGAGAAAAGAAGGAATTAAAAGGAAAGAAGAGAGGAGCCAAAAAGCAAAAAACAAAAAAAAAAAACGGTAAGAAGAGGAAAAAAAAGAAGAAAGAAGGACAAAAAAACGAAGTAGGAGGAAAGAGGGGAGAGGGAGAGGGAGAGGAGAGCTGAAAGGGACCAGCTCTCCCCTCCTTTCTTGCCTGGCGGTGGGCTTAAAGGGGAATATGTTCAATGTTTCTCTCTTGATCCGTAAGCATTGTCTGTGTGAGGGGGAGGAGGGGGGGGAGGGGAAGAGGGGGGAGAGAAGAGAAAAGGGTTGAGGGGGAGGAGGAGGGTGAAGGTGTATATGTGTATACATGCATATATATATATATATTATATATATATATATATATATATATATATATATATATATATATATATATATATAAGATATATCCACACATCTCACACATACACACACACACACACACACACACACACACACACAACACACACACACACACCACACAACACACACAACACACACACACACACACCACACACATATATATATATATATACTATATATATATATGTGTGTTGTGTGTGTGTGTGTATGTGTGTGTGTATGTGTGTTGTGTTATTTGTGTATATATATTATTTATATATATATATATACATAATATATATAGTATATATATATATATATATATATATATATATATGTTATGTATATATATATATATATATATATATATATATATATATATAATATATATATATTAATATATATNTATTATATAAATATATGTATATATATATATATATATATATATATATATATATTAAAATATATGTATATATATATATAAATATATATATATATATAAATATATAGTAATATATATAAATATATGAGTATATAAAATATAAATATATGTATATATGTATATATATATATATATATATATATATATAATTATATATATATATATATATATATATATATATATATATATATATATATATAATATATATATTATATATATATAATTTACATATAATATATATATATATGTAAATATATATATATATTATATAATATTATATTATATATATATATATTATATATATATATATATATATAATATATTGTGTGTGTGTGTGTGTGTAAATATATAAATATATATATATATATATATATATATATATATATATATATATATAATATATATATATATATATATATACTCAACTTCCGTGCTCATTTTCCTAAACGCTTGATGAATAGTAAGACAGATAAGTTCGCGGTAAGGTGACACCATCCACTGAGGTCAGTTTTGATTGACTACAAATATGGTTCACCTTGAGTTGCCAAATCTTACGAAATGAAGCAGTAGTCGTACTGCTTATTTCGTACGTGTTTTTCTAATATATTTTGAAATATATCGATGGATATTTACAAAAAAAAAAACATAATTTGTTCCCTACAACAAGGACTTTGTCCATGCAGAGGTATAAGCTAGATTTTATTGAGGAATTTTGTTACGTGCGCACATCTGCTCGGAAGCCCTCAGTGCAGTCACTGAATGATGCACGAATCAGGGAAAGGGTTAAACAAAAAAAGTTTTTTGTGTTTTCTCAAGATCTCTTTAGACGTTTCTAATTAGAAATGAAGACATTTGTATAATCATTTTCATCATCATTTTCAATCATTACTTTTTTTCTTTTCTTTTTTAACATTAATATAATTTTGATACTGGAATCATTATCATAGTTTTCATAATAATGATGATAATAGCAAAAGTAATGATGGTGATGATGGTGGTGATGATGATGATATATGATGATATCATCATCATCATCATCATAACAAAATTCACAATAATAATGACAATGATTATGATAGTAATAATAATATGATAATGATATCATCATCATCATCATTCATATTATATCACTATTGTTATTATTATAATTATCATCAATATTATACTATCATTTTTATTTTCATCATAAAAATAACTATCATACTGATTATCATTAAATGAAGTTTCATGATTATTTCATCATTCTTGTACTTATTAGACTCATTATTACCAAAATTATCATCATTATCAATCCAGTTCGGGGTTCGTTACTTTTAACACTTTCATAAGGAATGGAAACTCTTATTACTATTATTAACATTATTAATATCATTAGTAATGATTATAATCATTATCTTTATTTTAATAATAATCTTCATTATTATTATTACCATTATCATTATTGTTATCATTATTATTATTATCATTATTGTTACTACAATTCCAATAATCATTACTGTAATAATCATCACAATTGGTAAATCATCATTATTATCTTTACTATTGAGTGTTCTCTCAAAAGCTTATATTTGTTTAGATTTTAAAGCTTCTTTGCCTTTTCGGGGTTGGTTACTTCTGGCCTTTTCATAATCATTATCATTACCATCATTATTTATTATCATTATTGCAATAATAATCTTCATTATTCTCATTGTTATCATCATTCTCTATTTTATAATATCAATGATAATTTCATTGGTATTTCTGTCACGATAATAATAATGCCAATCATCATTATTATAATATTGATGATAATAGTAACAATAGCAAAGATGATATATTACCGTTATCATCATTTTCAATTAAGTAATTAGAAAGCTGGTTGCTATTATTCCAATTATTATTTAAATTATCATTATCATCTTATCCTTAGTATCATTAATGTCATTATTACCGTAATTATGATTATAATTTCCTTAATTATTGGTAAAATCATTGTCATTCTAATAAAAAATGGCTTTTCTCAAAAGCACAATTTCGTTAGATTCTGCCGCTTTTTTTAGCCGTCATGTTGTTATTGCAATTATGATCATCATCATCATCAGTCAATATCATCGTTATCATCATTATTTGGTTGTTGGATGTTTATTTTGGGTTGTCGTTGTTGTCGTGATTATTATTATCAATATTATCATCATTTGTAGTATCATTATTGCAATAATAATAATTAGTATTGTTATTTTTATCATAACTTATTATCGCTATTTCTATGATGGTAATGATAATTCAATAATAACAATGATAATGATAATAAATATAATGATTATAATAATAATAATCATAAAAATAATGATAATACAAATAATAACAGTAATAATGGTAACATTATTATCATTATTATTATTATCATCATTATTATCATTTTTATTATCATTAGTATTATCATTATTATTAAGAAGTATGAATAATAAGAATAAGAATAAGGATGAAAAGGATAATAATTATTATAATAAAAATGATAATCATCATTATAAAAATATTATCATTATCATCTTTATCATCATCATTAATATAATCTTTATTATAAAAATAATTACAATAGTTGTTATTTTTACCATTATTCCAATTAACATCAAAATTACCATGATTATCATTTTATGTTATCATTACCATAATCATTATTGTCCACTAATACTAGTTACCTCAGGAAAACTGTAAACGAACAAATTTAATGATATACATTTTATTGGCCCTTTTGCAGAATTAATTTGCAATAAGCATGGTGGCATTTTTATCTCTCAAGAATAACAAAGCTTTGATGATAATACAAAAAAAAAAAAATAAATGATTTTCCTACTTTCACCTTACTTAATTCAAATATTATTTATATAACACATGAACAGATGCAGCAAACATTAATTCATATTACAATGATGCCATCACCGCAGCAACAGATAAACAAAACGGTTCCTTGAATAATAAACTTTGCATAGTACAACACCTATCCAGTTCTTCAAATACTGCACTAAAACCCCTACACACAGTCTTTCTTTGATCAATACTCATAAAACAATTTGATATCAAGATCAAATGAATGTTTGTTGTCTCAACAAAACAATGGTTATATGAGAATATATACTACATGAGACTTAAGAAGTGTATTCGACATCTCTAGCTTGAGCGCTTATGGATTTTATCTAAGAACTTAAAAAATACATTGTGATTGAGGCCACGTGAAATCTGTTGAATGTGGACTCGAATCATGGAAGAAGTGGAGTCTTCATATGCACGATATGTAGCAGGTAGACCCAGTTCCTGAAAGAGAAAGTGTTTGTTTGGGTGAAAAGGAAAATGATTGGGAGGATGTTAACCAAAGCACAAATAGTAACCCTGAAGACTTAAGGAAAGTTATAGAGAAGAAAAGTATCAAATAATAAATATAGATCCTGAGAACTGGAAAGAAAGCAAAAAAGGCTTATGCGGAAAAAAAACATTGCAAAGGGAAGGGATTGAGTCTAGACACCGTGTGGGTCTGGGGCTGGATTCTTAATAATTGACATTGCGCCACCTTGGGCATAGCTACCGGTAATAGGGTCGGCAGCGCGATACCGGCGAGCCTTCCTAGAGCAGTGAAAACAATCGGGTGGCGAGGAAATCGGGATTTTTTTTAACGGACTTTTATTTTTTTCTGTAAAATCGTAATTTCGGCTCCTTCGGCCGTAAGGACTTAACAATGCTTTTTTTTAATTGTATCAAACGGGCAAATCGTAATGGTTGGCATATCTGCGTCTTTTCTTGCCATACAGGCTGAGTGGGTTAACCTTACTTACGTGATATAGAACAATTCAAGGCATACTAGAAATCTACTAATCTTTGTTGCATATTCTATTTATCAAAATGTTTATTCATATTCTTCCATTTTTGGCAGCATGCTATTGTTAGATCTACTCTCTATCATCCAATCTATATCACCATACTAATGGTGGTGATGGTGTCTGTGTATCTGACTGACCATAAAGCATTCATTGAGAGGTCTCGCTTATAATTTGTATTGGCCATCATTTTGTTTACATTATCATTTTGTTTGCATTATCATTATCTATTTGCGAGTTGCCTCACTTTCAGAAAAAGTACCTAAATGTAGTGTGGATGTTTTATATTCCACAGCAATTCCCTTTCCCTCGTTAGAAAAAAAAGTTTCTCTGCATCACGAAAGCCTCCCGAATTTCAGTACATCTAAAACTTGCGCTATTCTGACGAGCCGTCAACATGTTTCAAATAAGTGATTTCTAGTTTATTTGTTCTTGGTAATAAGTAACGAATCTTCATGTATGTGCGTGTCTGTGTGTCTATCTGTGTGTGCGCCTGTATGTGTATGTGTGCCTGTATGTGTGCGCATGTGCCTGTATGTGTGCGCATGTGTCTATTTCGCCATTGCCTGTACGTCGCATGTGCCTTATGGTCGCATGTGCTGTATGGTGCGGCATGCTGCCTGTTTTGTGCGCCATGTCCTGTTGTCCCGCATGTGCCTTTTGTGCCCGCATGCCCTCATGGTCGCATTCCTGGTTGGCGCGCATTGCCTTTGGTGCGCATTGCCTGTTGGCACATTGGCCAATTTGTGGTCGCATTCCGATGGTTCCATTCTTATGTGCCCCATTTTCCTTTCGTGCGCATGCCTGTATGTTCCATTCCTATGGTGGCCATGCCTGTTTATCCGCGCATGTCCTTATGTGCCGCATTCCTGTATGTGCGCGATGTGCCCTGTATGTGCGCGCATGTGCTGTAGCTCGCAGTCCTTATGTTCGCATGTCCTGTATGATCGCATGTGCCTTATCTGCGATGGCCGGTTATGTGCGCCGAGTGGCCTGTATTGATCCGCATGTGCCTTATGATTCGGCCATGTCCCGTATGTGCGCATTCCTTATTTGTTGCGCATGGCCTTATGGGGGTCGCATGTGCTGTATGCGAGGTGCCTGTAATGCGCATGGCCTTTATGGCTTGCGCATGCCGTATTCGCGCATGGCCTGTAATGTCGGGCTATGTCCTGTATGGGTCCGGCATGTGCCTGTATGTGCGCGCATTGCCTGTATGGCGCCATGTGCTGTATGGGTGCCTGTCCTCAGGTTGCATGTAACTGATGGCGCATCCTTATGTCGCATGTCCTTATGTGCGCATGCGTTTTCCCTGGCCCTTTGTGCGCGCATTGCCTGGCATGTTGCCATGTGCCTGTGGGCGCACATGTGCCTGGTATTGCGCCAGTGCCTGTTATGGTTTGCGCATGTCCTGTATGGTGCGCATTCCTTATGGCGCCATGTGCTTATGGTGCGCATGTCCTTATGTTCGCTATGTTATGTCGCATTGCCTTATGGTACCATTGCCTGTGTGTCACTTCCTTATGGCGTCATGTTCCTGTATGGTGGCCATGTGACCTGTAGTGCGCATGTGCCTGTAAGGTGCCATGTGCCTTATGTGTGCGCATGTCTTAGGGGGCGCATGGGTGTATGGGTGCAGCCTGTATGTCGCATGGCCTGTCATGGGGTGCGCGTGTGCCTGTATGGTGCGCATGTGCCCTGTGGGCTCATGTGCATGTGTGGTGCGCATGTGCCTGTTGGTGTCGCATGTCCTTGTGGCGCATTGCCTGTGGAGGTGCGCATAGTGCTGTGGTGCGCATTGCCTGTGGCGCTGTCCTGTTGTGCGCATGTGCCTGTGTGTGCGCATGTCCTGTATGGGTTCGCATTGCCTGTTGTGCCATTGCCTTGTGGTCCGCATGCTATAGTGTGCGCATTGCCCTGTGGGGCGCATGTGCCTGTGGGGCTCGTTCGCAGTCCTGTTGTCGCATGTGCCTGTGTGGTCGCATGTCCTGTGACGCATTGCTATGTCGCATGGCCTGCAATGTCGGCATTCCTGTTGGGCGCATGTGCCTGTTGGGCCCATGGTGCCTGTAATGGGAGGCGCATTGCCTAGGTGCGCATGTCCTACATGCGGGATGTCCTTACGGTCGCAAATTGCTTAGGGGCTCATCTTATGTTGCGCATTGTCCTGTTATGGGTGCGATGTGCCTTATGGTGCGCATGTGCCTGGATGTGCGCGCATGAGCCTGTCAATGGGTGTGCATGTGTCTTTGGTGCGCATGTGCCACTGTATGGCGCGCATGTTGCCTGTATGTGTGCGCAATGTGCCGTATGTCGCGCATTTGCCTGTATAAGTCTGCGCATGTGCCTGTGTGGTGCGCATGTGCCTTTGGGTGCGCATTTCCGCATGGCGGACTTTGCCTTATGGTGGCCATGCCCCATGGGTCGCATTGCTGTGTCGCATTGCCTTTTGGATGCCATTGCCTGTTGCGTGGCTGTTCCTGTATGGGATGCGCATGTGCCTGGATGGGGTGCCAGTCCTTATGGATGCGCATTTGCCTTATTTTGTGCGCAGGCCTCATGAGCGCATGTGGCCTTTACGCCATTGTGCCGTATGTGTGCTGTCCGTATGGATGCGCGTGCCTTATGTCGCAGGCCTTATGTGCGCAGTGCCGTATTGTCGCATTGCCTGTATGTGGCGCATGTGGCCTTATGTGATAGTACTGTATGGCCATGGCCTGCATTGTTCGAATGCTGTTATGGGCGGCAGTGCTGTATGTGCAAGTGCCTGTATGTCGGAATGTGCCTGATTGGCATGCCTGTATGTGCGTGCATGTGCCTGTATGGTTGTGCATGGGCCTGTATAATGCCATTGCCTTTATCGTGTGCACCTGATATAGATTGCGCATGTCTTATGGGTCCATTGCCTGTTGCGCATTGCCTGTATGGTGCGCATGGCCTGTATGGCCCATCCTGATGGGTCGCATTACCATATTCCATCTTATGCTCCATGCCGATTTGCGCATGGTCCTTATGTCCGATGTGCTATGGTGCGGCATGTGCCTTGTGGGTGCCATGCCTTGTTTGGATTCCTGTATGGCCATACCTGTTATTCGCCATGCCTGTGGGTTGCGCATGTGCCGGTTTGTGCCGGCATTTCCGTGTGCGCAGGCCGTATGGGTGCGCAGTGCCCTTATCCATTGCCTTTTAGCCGCGCATGTGCCTTTGGCGCGCAGTGCTTGGGCCACATTGCCTTATGGGTCGCGATTCCCGATGGGTGCGCATGGCCTTATGGTGCGCTGTGCCTTATGGTCATGGTTCCCTTAGGTGCCATGTGCCTGTATGGTCGCATTTCCTGTTTTTTTTTCTATGGTCGCATTGTGCCTTATGGGGCGCATGTCCTTATGGGTTGCATGTTGCCTTATGGTGGCATTGCCTGTATGGGCTGCATGTCCTTATGGTGCGGCATGTGCCGTATGGTCGCTGTCTTCCGTAGGTTCCATTGCTTATGGTGCATGCTTATGTGCGCATTGCCTATATGGGGTTGGGCGCATGTGCCTCTAGTTATGTTCTGGTTTGTGTTTTATACATGTTTTATCCTGTGTAAAACATATGTTGTGTAAACCTGGTATTGCTTGTATGGGTCGCATATGCCTTATGGGTCGCATTGCCTGTGTGGTGCCATGTGCCTGTTGGCGCATTTCCTTATGGTCGCATATCCTTATGTCGCGGCATTGCCTTCGGGGTCGCATTGCCTGTTGGCCCTCCTATGGTTGCCGGGCAGTGCCTGTATGTGCCGCATTCCGTGTGGGCGCGGCATGTCCTGTGTGGCGCGCATGTGGCCTGGTGGCGCCGCATGCTGCCTTTGCCGCAGTCCTGGTTGGCGCACATGTGCCTGTATGTCCGCAGGCTTATGTGCGCATGCCTGTATGGCGCATTCTTATGGCCATTTCCTTATGGTGCGGCATGGCGGTATGAATCTACATTACAATCAATAATTATCATCATGGTAGGTACAGATAAAGTCCATGTCACTGTATTGTGCGGGGCATGTGCCTGTAGGGTGCGCATGTGCTTATGGGTGCCATGTGCCTGTAATGGTGCCAGTGCCTGTATGGGTGCTTGCCATGGGTGCATGTTCCGTATGTGCGCATGTGCCTTATGGGCGGCATGTCCTGTATGGTACCATGGCCTATAGGCGTGCGCATGTGCCTCTACGGTATGTGTCTGTGTTTGTTTTGTATACATGTGTGATCTGTGTATAAACATATGTTGTGTAACCTGTGTTGCTTGTGATGTTCGTCCCAGTGTGTAAGCCTGTGTGTAAACCAGTGTCGTGTGTGCCTCTCTGGTGTGACTGTGTATGTTACGGAGTGTGTTGCCTGGCTTGTGTCTCTCATCATCATCAGGAGCTAACGCCACGGGGGCACATAGCCGCGTCCACCTTTGGGATCCCTCATAGCA